CTCGACGGCATTTTTGGAGGAAAAAGTGGGCGGGGTTTGATGGAAGATGGATGGATGGTGGAGGTAGGGAAAAGGGGGTCGTATCAAATCCACCTTGGGGGAGGGGGGTCGTAAAAATTTTTCGAAAAGTAACAACGATAGGACGACCCTGCTTCCCACGCAGCTGACAAATGGCGCGGCGTGGAATGCACGGAATGTGCAGATGCGTGGAGTAAACGAATCGATACGTATCTAATCTTAGTAGCGCATTCCTAGAATCTCAAGTATGGCCAAAGGTCCGTTTGGGCTTTGACGAGCTGGGTCTTAGTTTGTGATTTCAAGATAATGAGGTTGTATTTAGAGAAAAAGGTCCTTCCCTTGGAGACGCATAGGACAAACATGAACCAGGATCAACGACCCTGTGGACACAATCGATAGTGGAGGGATTTGTGGTGGCTTCCCCTCAGAAGGGAACGTCCAGTTCCAAATTTTGTTCAACTTGATGGTGGACCCTAACTACCGGCGCGAGTTGAACCGCCGCACGGGCAGGGTCACGTATTCCGATTACTCGTCGATAAAAAGAGCGCAGAAACTCGTCTAACGTACCCCACTCATCAGAAATGGGCTCCACCGAGGACGGTCTATTACAGTTAGGTCATGTTGCGACGAAATGCACCTTTGCGGCGTGCCGCGCGCGGAAACGTTATTAAACCTCGAGGAATGGGTATTTTTCCAACTAATATGTACCTAACTAAACTCCCCCCCCCCGTTGTCGTGTGTCGGACAGTTATATAGGCATGTGACAAACTTATGGATTTCAGTTGGTTGACTTGAAATTGACTCGAAACCTCTCCATACTGGGTTTATCACTGATGGCTGGTCTGATACTTCCGCTTCACCTCGAACGTTCACCATTCAGATCAGGTACGAGCTTACATTCACAATATACATATATCAGCACTAAACTACTTCACAATAGTGGAACATGGACGAACGGGGTTTATTGGAAAAGTTCCAGTAAGAGTGACCTATTTGAATAGTTCAGGTAACCAAGAATGGGATCAAATCGCTAACATGCTGTTGAGCATAAAAATGCTTGTTGGAGGAGTCGTAGCCGTGATCTTGGACAACACCGTACCAGGTATCAGTTTTTACTTGGTATACTGCTTTTTTATACCCAAATCGCTTCATAGCATAGGCTCTAACACTTTTGCAGTCGGTTTGGGGCTGGATTTGGGGTTTGGCGTTTCCGTGGATCGATGAGCCTAGGACCCATCGTCGGAGTCACTCAAATTGAAGATCCACAGAACGTGTAGCTATACTCTATTTCGGAAGACGAGAAGAAAATCGAGTGCAGACCACACATCATAAGAGACGACGGCCAAGAGAAAAGCGGCTTTTTTTCTTGGGCGTCGTCTCCTATGGTGTGTGGTCTGCACTCGATTTTCTAAATCGAGGGTATGTGACCGCGCGCCTGGGACTCACAAGTTCAACCCATGGAACCCATTAAAAAATATTTGGCGCTCATCCGGTAAGGGGGAGGGGCATTCTTGTCTGCAAGTACGTCAAGTTGCTGCCCTGCAACCACCAACAAAGTAACCGTCTCGACTGGTCTTCACTCTCCTCTGGCTCACGGGTCCAGTACTTCGCAGAAACTTGGTGGTGCCAGGGGGAATTTTCGTGTGCCAGCGTAGGCCAGCTCTAGGGGGGTGGGAGGTGAAGAGCAGCCACTTGATGCCCCCTCCCTATTGGATGAGCGCCAAATATTTTTTACTTATGATTTAAGAACTCTGATATTCAGGTGCCACTTTGCGACAACGTGGCTTGCAAGGAGCCGATGACAATTATGATGAGAAACACATGGATGAGGAGGGATGCCTACGCTTTCCCCGAGTGGACGAGTAGGTACGTGTACCGGACGATTAACAGCTTCAAGATCACAGGAATTCCTACATCACATAAACATTTCCAGAATACTCAACTCCCTTCCATTCCTCAGAAGTCTTCCTTTTATTCTCCATCATCCTACGCATCAAAAAACTCGAGGTTTAGCGGATGTCGAGCAGCGCAAACTAAACTGCACCGGCACGGGTGAAGCGTTGCTTGATAGTCAATATTGGATAAGATTCCTTTGTTTAATGTTAATCATAACAGCTTAATATGTAGTAAAGTTCTTTAGCTATCATTCGGGTAGAGACACAACACAAAAGAAAATTGCATGAATTATTAGCATCCTTATTATTATAGACCTATACACTTGCCCTTGCTTCCCTGTAGTCCGCGGCATGCGAGTCTCGTAGCTGAGACGACAGCCACGTCTTGGCATCAACAGCATACGAGATTGAAAGGCCGCGCTGCCGGTTTTTTGTTCTTGGAAGACTCGCAGCATGGGTTTACGGAAGCTCGCGAGAACCAGCAGACTAACACGTGAATATCGTTCACTCTGTGAAATCCGATATTATGTGTTTGTAACGATCTTCATAACAGGATACCACGTCCACTTCCAAGTCTGCATTTACCGCTTGCCTCGACCCACACATGTCCAGATAGCACGGGAAAACAGAGTCCACAGCAGCTTGTACGGACCTGTCCGCTGGCCCGCGCCTGAGACATAAGATGGGAAACAGAAGCCATGAAAAGTGGACATAAAAGCTTTCATACAAAGAGCATTGAAACATTATCAAAGACCCTAACTCTTGGCGAAGCATATATACGTCTGAGATTGTGTAAACAACCCGTACCAAACGAAGAGAATTCATGAAGAGAGTGCCCAAAAAATAAAACCAAGAAGAGCACTGCATTTGAGGTTGCATTTGGAATCATATGACCATACCAAGAACATTGCAACTTGATCACCACCAGATGCGGACAAAAACTAAACAATCGAAAACAAACCAGCCTATGGTAAAGAGAAAAAGGAATGTATGCCTTCGTCACTCTTCTTCTGCCATGTCTGCGTTCCAGTAGCAATCTCGATACGACTCCAGCTTACGTCCCAGCTGAATATTAAAAACAACTAATATCAAATCTGATAAAGATGAAAAGAAACAGCAAAGAACACGTCTAAAGTGGAGAGCCGAGCTGTGCTGGAGCACTTCAGCAACGATCAAACAATAAATTGATTTCTGATTTCTTGAGTGAACACTGCGCCAAAGATCAGCAAAAACTCTTCAAGACCCTCTTTTCGTTCCATTATTGTTTGGCAGTGCTGTCTGAGCACAGTAGAGGACGTTCAAGGGCAAACTGTAGGTAGCCAATCCAGCTGAATCTTTCCAGACCTCTTCACATTACCCTACACAGCACAAAGAAACCCTCCTACTTGAGCTTTAGAACATGTTTGTTTTAATATCAATTGATTCCCACGAGCAATACCACTTTGATAAGTTATACCCAAAACCATCCCTGCACATCCAGAGCGATTTCACTTTTTTTTAGCTCGTGGATGATTGCTAAAAGAACCACTTACAAGCAGTGAGGAAAAAATTAAATACTTCTGAAAATTTCCCTTCAGCGACATTATTGTGAAAGAGGTATGTTGCTTTAGTGCTCCCTTTCAACGTTCCACCCGATAAGGAAAGTGATAGACTTCAAAGCGCAAGGCAAGCGACCGCGAGGAGCCCCAAAGAAGAGGTGGAGAGACGTAATCAAGAAGGACCTAAGTGAAGTCACGGCCACAGCAGAAGATGCCCTGGACAGAGCAAAGTGGCGACGACTGACAAAGACAGCGGACCCTGCGACTGCGCGGGACTAACGCTAGGGAGAAGAAGATTTATGCTTATTAAACTGGAACTTTTCGCTCCACCGGTCCCCGGTTTCGTCTGAGACACCGCGCAGTGATTCTGATAAGGCAGCTAATTAGGGAATAAGGAACTTAGTGGGAGTCTCGAGACGACGAAAAGTATCATTACTGTACCTCTGCACAATTAAAGAAAGATTAGCAATATACGAGTTTACAAGAACTTTTATAAACAGAACTAACCTTTCCATCACAGAGACGAGATGCGAATTCTGAAAACCGACTGTCTTTTCTAGTGAGCCTACTAGCTTGACTATCCGATTGTCGACGTAAAGCAATGTACTCCTTTCTGAGCTCCATATAACGGGCGCTAAACATCACTTATTACATCACTGAAAGGCAGGAGCAACCAAGAAGAAAATCATACAAAGAGAACACTTGTATCTTTGCGAAGTAATCGCTGAGAGATCCAATCACAGTATGCGGTCCTACTTCGCTTCTTCGCTTTCTTCTCCGTCTTCTGCAAATTTATATAACGACACAATTTTGCTAAGACTCAAAACAACAAAACAATGGGTTACCGCTTCTTCCTATGGTTTTCCTCTCGGAGTTCAGTCGGAGTCCCTTCACTTCTTCTTCTTTCCACAACTCACGACGACCCTCTCCACAGTCAGAATTGGACATATTATGCTCACCGTCGACATGACCATCGATCGACAGAGTTTTCCTAGAAACTGTGGTTGAGCGCAGCGTTAATCACAGAAATGATTACAGAAGACCCATCAAATCCCACCATTGCTCTGCTCTTCTGTAGCACAAGCTTTTTCGCGATCGCAATGAGTGATACTGTTGGACCCATCCTTTTATTAGGCTGTGCGTTCCATCTTGCAGGTGATGCTGCTTGATGTCGCCGTGTATTTAGTTATTTAACTTCATCAACAAGACGTTTGAGCATAAGTACGCCTGCGCCGACGTTTTGATAAGCTGGAATTTTACAGCTAATTGACAAAAGAAGAGTACTAATGAATTGGGCAAAATATAGCATAGTTATGAAGAACAAGCTGTCCAACTTACGCTCTAATATGGAAAAGTAGGCGTTGGAGAAGCGGGACCAACAGCGGACATTCTTCCTTATTTCTCTCGGGTACAGCTTTGCACGCGTACGCCTAAAAATTGATAATGATATCGCGATAATACAAGACTACTCTGGATGCGGTAGGATAGCTCAAACAGTTGGCACTACATAGCAACTGGACGTGGTTAAGTAACACTTTACTTGGGGCGGAGCAGCTCGAGTTAGTTGAACGTATTCTCTATCACTCAGGTAACCAAACAGAAGTATTATATTTTTACCGAGGGGAGGGGGACTTTGAGTACCCAAAAAAGGCCGGAAGAGGAACTTTAGATATTCCTTAAAGTTTTTTGCAGTGACTTTGAAAGCCACACAGCGTTTCTGGACGTTCATCTAAAAATCTAATAGAGGTCGGAGCAAATTAACACCACAATATTTACCAGAAATATAACTTAAGGTTGAAGTGGGCGTATCTATGCGTCAATTAATCTACTCCGCTGGAATAACACTCTTTGCTTAAATGGGACTCCCACACGCTAAATAAAATCAGTATAAAACGTCCAAAACATTCCCAGAACAAAAATGCTTGCTTACGGCGAAGCTTTTCTTCCCAATTTAACATAAAACGCTTCCCAAACATTTGTGCTACCAGTTGCAACACACTTCAAATTCAAAACAGCATGGTAGATATAATATTACGAGATCCGATATCAAGAAGGGCCTCATCCTACTTATTATGAAAACGAGGGACTCATATGAACAAAAGTGAGGATAAAGAGGTGCTCCGGTATTAAGCCGGATAGATTTCTCCAATAGAAGAAACTTACCTCACACATGCTTTTGCAAGCCTCAGGTTCAGTGAATTGCAGAAACGCAAAGGAACGTGAATGCTTTCCGACTTCTATGGTTCCGTAGCTAGATGAAACTGGTCTGGATGATGACCTCGGTACTCGAACCTGAAGAGAAAGATAAATCAGAACGAGCCTTTACTAGGATAGAATTCTTCAGACCTCTACAACTGTTCCGAATTTTCGTGCGAAACGGCCGATTTTTTCTGCTGTGCACCCTAACGGGAGATTATCCTAAAAAGGAGACATTATAGATAATTAAACTTACGACGTCACTAGATTTTATAAGAACCGCTGACCCAGGTAAACAGTGCAGTCCTCAATCCTCCATTCCGTCGCACGATACTTAAGCATGAGTTTGTTCTCAGGACTGCGTTCAATGCGAAACATGTCCGTGATGTT